ACACATTGTAGTTGTAGTATTCTCTGATTTAAGGGTATAACCAAAACAAATAGAGCCGGCATTTATAAGCGTATGTTTATGTTTGGCCAGGAAAACTGCGTCTACAATTTCCTTTGATGTTGTCGCAGCAACAGAGAGTGAGTGAGAGAGATAGAAAGAGTGACATTGTATCTCGGGATTTGTGTTTGCGGTGGCGTGCTGCTGACGTCTCCTACTTGAGGCCCCTTTGATCTCTGCATAGGGTGCCCCTTTGGGCTGAAGCGTGTCTATCGCTTCAATAATTATAATTAGTAACAATATGAACGGGCTAAAAAAAAAAATTGTAAAAAACGCATAAATTGTAATTAAAAAGTGAAACTATTTTAATCAGCATTTCAGCAATTCTATTAACGCCCTCCTCTCGGCTTCTCCCACTCACTGCATATACATATTATTACTGTCGCTCTACTGTCTGGCACCCGCACTTTGCTGCAGCATTGTGTGTGGTCCAGTTGGTTCCTTAGTGCTGCCTTGAGCAACTACTCTCTGCCTTCCTTCACATTGCTTGCCCCCTCCTCGTCTAGGGCCCGTTCACGACTCGCCCTAATTGATTAAACGAGAAACAAAGCAGCGCAAGATGCAACAACGTCGACGTTGACGACGCCACAATAAGAATGCAGAATGTAAACAAAGTTAAAAATATTATGCTGGCATCCAACAGCACACATACACACACACATTTATACGTAAGCCAGCACATCCAGCATCAATACCCCCCTCCCCCCTTAAAAAAAAAAGCAAAAAAAAAAACTAGAATATCGCTGCAATATTTTACCAAATGCGTTGCCTGGTAGTAATAATATTTCGATCTATGGAGCGCATCTTGTTTACTTTTTACCATTCGCATAGTAAAAACCACAAAAACAAAGCACAGAAAAAACATTAACAAACCAAGCAGAAATTATGAAAATTCCTTGAAAATAGCAAATAAGTTTTCTCGCTGCTCGGCTGCCTTAGCTGCCTTGTTTGTGGGCTCCCCTGTGTTCGGCTTCTCATCTGTGTATTATGTTTACTTTTTTTTATGGCCACAGGCCGCAGTGCGTTGCAATAATTATACGAGTGAGAGCACAGAGCAACAAAAAACAATCCACAAAGCAACAAAACATGAGAAGAATTCACTCATTTCCGCTTACAATTTGAATAGTTCTGAAACAGACGCCGTTTTTAGAGTTGCGTCACTTTGGCAAAAAAAAAAAAACAAAAAAACAAAGAAAACCAAAAAAAAAATTAAAATGGCCTTTGTGGTTTTTCGGTACGAATACCATAATCGGCGGATTAGACTTGTATTGTTTTTAGTATTGGTCGAGAGGCAGGCGTTAACGAGCCAACGCCAGTGAACAGCCAGCTCATGGGGCGTATCATAATAAACGATGCGGAAAAATGGAGAATATCATAATTGCTTCCAAAAAGTGGGCAAGCAGAATCGCTATATCTCAATCGGATGCTTATTTTATGTGCTGCATTATATTTCTTTTGAATGCCTCCAGCATAAACTGTGAGAAATGCTATGCAATAGCAATAAAAGTGTTGATATGCTTAGTTTAGTAGAAACTCTTTCTTCTACATTGCATGGGGTTCGAAAAGACAATATTGAAACTGTTGGCATTGTATATTTTCGCATTTTATTTATAATACTTGCAAGTTTCTCCCAGTGTAAATAAGCTCAAAAGTATGCTATAAAAGATTAATAGCATTGCTTTAAAATCGTTTATTATTGTTGCTTTTCAGTTTCGGTTTTGGAGTTTGCTAACTACCCATCCACCTCCCCCTCAATCAGCACAAAAGAGCATCAGCTGCTGCTCTCCAAATTGCTTAGCCAATTTCATAAGTATTACCATAGCGGGTAATCTGGCCGGGAGAAGCTATTCAGCGGCGCTTTGAATAGCTTTTGGTGTGCATAAATCTGTCAATAATTGTAAACGTCTATAGCTTTACAATATTTATGGTGTTTATGCCACAATGCCATTATGCCATTTATGATATTACCCCAGGGGGTGGTCAACAACAAGAAGAAAGTAAGTGTTTAAGTTTGTGCCACATACTGTTTAGACCCAATATAGGGTTCTATGTGCATAAACTAAGCAACTTAAATTTATTTATGTGCTTTTATGTGTATTCCGCCACAACAATAAAAATATCAAAAGTTCGAAGGGCGAGAGTGGGCATAAGGGGGCAGTCCTTTAACAGCTGCTGCTGTTGGGACTTTTGCCTTTGTCATCATTCGCTGTTGTTCTTTGTAGCCGCACAAAGTCAGAAATAAGTCCTTTTGTGGGTTCTTTTTGGCAAGTTGTTACATTTTTATTGTGCTACAAATTGCTGTAAATATTTGTGGAATGTCGAACTGTTAACCCTTTTTTGAGATGTGGTTTTTGTTGTTGATGTTGTTCTTGTTATTGTTGTTTGGGCCCAGCAATCTAAATGATGCTTTGTATACAAAGAGCTAAGATGTAAATTACACAAAAATATGCCTCTCAAATAATCAAGCGGTGAACTTAATTTGCCATAAAATGACGCCAGAGGTGAGAGATTTGTAGGTGGAGTTAGAGATGAGTGCATAAGGCGATGAAATATCGAAGAATATTAACCAAAGAAATGTGTTTGAAATAAGTCTGAATTCATATTTAAATAGAAGTGAGAAAACACTTCCAAGGAGAAAATCATCCAAGTAATACCTTGAAACATGCTATACATTAATTATCGACTTAAGTTTTGCTTTCGACAACAAACCCTTTATTTTTTGCAAACTTTTATCCATCTCTAGTGGGGATCCAGTTCCTAACTATATAACGAGCACTTGGCAACGTTCGTTGTGGCTCCAAATTCTGCGCTCATAATTTAGACATTCAGTCGGTTTCGACCTTTTGATATTTTGCTAGAATTGTGGAAAATTCTGAGAATTGCCGGGGCGCCCAAGAATGTGTCGCAAAACAAAAAGACCAATTTTGTTGGGAAACATTTTGGCACCGTCGTTGTTGTTGTTGTTGTTTGTTGCTTGTGTCGTTGGTGTTGCCGTCGATGTGACAGAATTTTGCATGCCATTTGATTAATTGCCATGCAAATTATGGTGTAAATATAATAACATTTTATTCAGCTGTCAATTTGAGCGGCAAATGAAATGAAACAAAACTCCAGACGTGTTCGTTCACGACATGCAAAAACTCAATTTGCCAGGGCTCCCTTCAATGGATGAATGGATGAAGCGAAGTGAATGGCATTCGCTGCAGCCCAGGCACGACTTGGGTCGGGGCTTGAGTGCAGCGGAGTAGCGGAACGTAGCGACTGCTCTGGCCAAAACAACCAAAAAACAAAATCTAGGCACATAATTAAGACATTAGTCAAATTTATTGTTGCTGTTGGTGTTGCTGTTGTTATTGTTGTTGTTGCCTGTTGCCGCTTAATCCCTTCACATCAACGGCACCAGGCAGCAAAAGGTAAAAGCAGATATTTCCAGGGAACTGACCAGCTTGAACCACTACAGGCCAGGTGAGTGTTGCAAATTAGTTGACACGTTAGTTGGAGCTGGGGGCAGACGACGCGACGGCGCGACAAACAGTCGCAGTCGAAGTCGGCATGAATAAAGTCATTTTTATATACACATACAGTTTCATATGACTGCTTGATGGGAAATACTGAAATGTTAGCCCCAGTCTATAATTAGCCTAATAACCCGGCCAACCGGTAACTGGCAACCGGCGACGGGCAATGGCAATGGGCACTGCCAGCTGCAGGCTTGTCTAAAATCATACTCCTGCTTTGTAGACCCACGGACCTGATGCCCCGTTCTCGGCTCTTCCTGTATAATGACTTCAATTTGCGCTGAAGGTGATTCCTGGAAATCAAATACGCCAAACGGCTAAATGCCATGCCATATTCCAAACTCATAACCCTAACTCAGTTCCTCCACACACACTAATACTCTCACATGAGGTGGATGTGGCCAACGGTCATTTAGTATTCGCTTTATGCATTTGGTATTTAGGCTATGAAGGAGTGAGAGTTTTAACAAGTCTTCACCGGTTAACATTTGATTGTGCTTTGTGTAATTTGCAGTCTACATCATTATGCATATGAAGTCATTCGGAAAATGGAGCGAGTGGTGCACTTTATAAGTACACTTGTCTGCACATATTTGTAAGTTGTTCTTGCCAACTCCAATTATCATAGGCATTATGTAAAAATCGATATAGGGAATATAAACTTCCGTTTCCTGTTGCCTTTTTTAATAAATGTCTTCACTTATCTGATTGTCACAAGATCAATTTCAACTTTAATTCAATACTGCTTGCAGTTAATATTCCAGTGTATATTCCTTTATTTCTGCTCAAATAAATTAAAGAAAATCAGCCAAGTTAAGCAGCCAAGTTCAGCCCTAGACTACGCAGAGTCTTAATCATCGGGATCAGTTGCATCAGCAGCGAGCTTTGTTCCTGCACACGCCCACTGCTTCACTGCTTTTTGTATGATGTTTCGTCTAAGCCAAGTTACAATGAGTTTCCTCCCGCTTCCACCGACTTTCTCGCCCGATTTTACAAGCGCAGAGACAAATGAGCCGAGCTGGCGATGGTCGCGATAGGTCTTAGCAGCAAATCGAGGGATCGAGGCATGCAACGCCTAAGCCAACGGCTGTGCCACCAAGAGTAATGTGCAAAATTAAATTTGCAAACGCAAGTGAAGCTTGCGAACTGGCTGCCAGCCAAGACCTAAACTGAATCGGGCTCTTGGAATAAAAGAAAAAATACAGCGCCGAAAAGCAATCGCGCCACGCACGCCCAACATCAGTTTGATAAATTGATATCAGCGTTCAATGTGCGGCGGATACTGCACAGATACCAGAGTAGTGTCTTGTCGAGGCGAACTGCCTGTTGGGGATGGGCTGAGTTTTTAATTGAAAAAATATCGACTGATAGAGTGAACGATATCGGTAAATATACTTATATATATAGGTATATCGGTGCACTTACCTATCGAACCGTCCAGGGAGTAGGCATTACGCTGCCAGGCCCACGTGCATAGATCACAGGTGGTCAGGCCGTCAGCGGCGACGCTTTCATCCAGAAAGGGTGGACGTGGCGGCGGCGGCACAAAATGTCCATTCCACAGCCCATTCTCGCTGGCATCGAAGGCTAGCGGCGAATCGAACGTGTCCACCTCAATGGCATTGGACCACCAGTCATCGTCCAACGGATTATAACCAGCATTGGCCCCGCCCAATTCAGTGGGATCTGGCGCTGCCAGCTGACTGTCCATGTTGTTGGGATCCGCTTCGTTCGCGGGCGTTGGATGTGCCGCAAGCGAATCCAGTCGAGAGTTAGGAAACGCCGATCGCAGCGTTGTCGTCGCATCCTGATAAATGTCTGCATCGCCAGCAGCCGGCTGCCGTGGAAACATTTTCCTCACAGCTCCCCGTGAGCGGCTCTACTCTGGTTGGCGACAAGTATCTCTGTGTCGCTGGGTCAATGCATCAGCCACATGGATTGCGTGTTGGGTGTTCCGGCAAAACGAGACTGCAACATAAAAATCAAACTAAATAAAATCGAACACATTTATTGGGAAAACTTGTCGCAAATAATTACAACCAGCTAAAAATATTGCCAAATAATGTCAAATTTAATGCTGCGGCAACTTCAACAGCAGCTTGTTAGCACTTTTTTGAAAGTTGTTCCCAAAAATGTTGCAGCATAGTTCAAAAAATATGAATATGGTATGGGTTTGTATAACATTAAGAGAGACATTGTTCGGCCTGTAGAAGACTTTGAATGGTTTGTAAAGCAGGTTTTGCATTTGGGGCTAGCAAGGAATTTATTATTGAGTTAGGAAATACTTTAGTAGATATCTTATGTTGCCATATCTGACATTTCAGCAGTTAATTAAGTCTTGTAAATGCTTATTGTGAGATTATTATGGTAATACTTGTCATTCATTTTCTCAACGTGTTTAAGACTAGAAATTATTCACAGCAAATATATTCTACTTATATTTTTATTATTATTTTCATATTATTTTTCTCAGATTTTCCACTTCCTTTGATTAGCTTAACTATCATAAGTTACTATCTATCTCTCATGTCCAGCAACATGGTAAGCTCCAAGCACAAACTAATGATGCAGTATCCACCTTTATAAATAAACTGCAGAATAAAGACTTCAAATTTCAGGCGACCAACATGGAAGGGGCGTGGTCTATGCAAACAGATCCGCATTTGTGAGTCAGGTTCAGGTTTGCAACTACTTGTACTAACACAGGTGGTGGGGCAGCTAGATTTACTGGGTCTGCGGCCAGTGCTGGTGGTCCGTTGCCGCCTTGTTACACGTTTTGGTGCTCCAAAGTTACCGCCTGACACACATTAATCAATGCAGGGAAGGCGTCCGTTTTGTGACACTAATAAAGTTTCTTAGCAAGATTAAAAATAGCGATAAGTGCTCTAAGAAATAAAGCAGTAAATAATAACAGAACACAATCGAAATTGTTGAGCAAATAGCTATAAAAAAAATACCAGCAAGTACTGTTAAAAAGTTCATTGGGTCAGCTTTATTTGGTGGCTTTTTCTCGTTTGGTTTCGTTTCGTTTTCGCTCTTGAGTACAAAAAAGTGAAACTTCATTGAGAGTCGGACAAATGTGCTAATCAACTACGGTCAGACGAATAGATCGTCTAACAGAAATTATATCTTTTCACTGTGATTTATAAGCCCGCAATTACAAGCCAACTCGCTGATCGGCCATTACGCGGCGTAATAATGCAAAAATCCAAAGAAATAAAAGGGATAAAAAAAACTACCAAACAATAGCAGGCCAAAAATCAAGAAAAAAACCAAAAAAAAGACAGAAAAACAAATGAAAAACCGAAATCATTTATCATAATCATTGTGATTGATTCGTTGAGAAAAAAATAAATATCACAAGTGAACGAAAAAATGTTATTTCTTGGGGTCGTATTCAAAGGCGCCCGCTCATCAGGCATATAAACGGTGCTTATTGTTGTTGTTACTATTGTTGTTCTTGTTGCTGTTGTTGTTGTTGCTGCTGTCTCACGTCTTTGGCTCACGTTTTGCTCCATTGAATCAGTCACTCAACTGCGTTACCTCTTGGCCAGCATGATCCAAACAAATGTTTTCATTCGGTGACTGACCGGTTAGCATTTTCGAACGCCTCGAATCGAGTTGAGGCATAGGGCAATAGTGCGAATTCTTATTTATTTACTTTTTTGGCAATCAGTATCTATGCATATTGCGGTCAACTGTTAAGAATGTCATATGTAAAGTAATACTTTCGAATATTATCAATCATGTGTGGCCTATTAATAGCATTTTCAATGCCCTAATTGAGTTTCACTGAAATCCGTAAGGAGGCAAACTTGAAAGCATTCATAGAAATAACTGACGCATTTTGAATATCAGCTCAATAAGAAACATAATTCTTTAATTAATTTAAGCCATATAAAGTTTGTGAACTCATACTTCATATAGAGTCACTTTATCATAAAGATGAAACATCAATTTAGGGACAGTTCCAACCTTCGCACAACAATAACTATGTCAAAAACTGAGAAATAAACATGGTTTCTTGATGCATGGGTTTGAGGTTATAAATTTACATATTTAAAATCATTAAGACATGCAACTCATCATGTACTCATAATATAATATTACTTGTATTAAAAATTGTACTTCCCCGTTTTTACAGCTATTTGCCTGATTATGTTGTCACACACTTCTCTTACTGGTTCTGGACATGGTCGCAGGCGCTCGGCACATATCATAAATTGTTGGCTATGGATCTGTTTTGGCCATCTTCCATATTAATCACACCGCATGAGTTGCTTTCAGCGGACAATGGCGCGATATGCCATCGCCAAGCGACACGGTTGCCTCTGTTGGCGCTTTTAGCCATTCACGTATAGTAAGCGCAATGATATAGTATTTTGGCAACAAGAGACTCAGAAAATCTGTTGACCAACTTTTCGCATTTTCAAGTCACAAGCACGCGGCTGTGCGTTAGTCAAGTGGCTTAATTTATATTTATGAAACACAGCACGAACATTAACCGAGCCGCCTTTTGGGCCAACATTTTCTGACCGGGCCCCGAGTCGGGCTTAGGCCACTGGCAATGCGTTTGTCGAACTGCCGAACTTGTCGAAGAGTTATGGCGTTGACCCACAACAAACCAAAACGACGAACAGACCAGGGCGACACACAGACACACACACTCGCACACACATGGATAAGTGTTGTGTTCAGTTTTTATGAACTGAAACTGGACTCGTACACTGTGTACTGGATTCTCTGTGCACTGAGCCTGCCCACTGTGGTCGTAATAACAATTTAGCCTTGTTTGGCGTCTCGGGCGGCAATTTTTCACATTAATTACAAATTACAGATTTATTAGGTATGGTCGCTATGCCTCGTCGCTGGGCATGTACCGCCCCTGAACAAGCGAGAATGCTGGCAGGCTAGCTGGCTGGTTGGCTGGGTGACTGGGTGACTGGCTGGCTGTGGCTCCTTTCCTCCTTGCCACATGCTACAGCTACGCAAAACTTGGCTTAAATATTAATGAGTAGTGTAATTTGTTGCATTGTATGTAATAAATTAATTTTGTGTGCGTCGCGGCACTCATGTGTGCCACAACGACGTTTCTAGACCGAGTGGCGCAAGGTACATTTACATATGAGAATGGTGCAAGCGAAACAACCACTTGCAACTTGCCGACCAACTAACCGACCGACCGACCGGCCAGTCAGTCAGTCAGTCAGCCAGCCTGACAGCCAGTTGCAACTCTGCACTCTCTGCACTCTCCACACTACACACAGAAGTGCATGAGTGGGCACTCGAAAAGTACTTGCCACTAGACTGATTATAGTCAATTCGTTGAATTGGACCACCAAGTGGTAGTGGCAACAGCAGCCCCACCACCACCACCACAAACATCAACAACAGCAGCAGCAGCAGCAACAGCAGCCGGAGCAGCGGCGGTGGCAATCCAAGCAAGCTGGCTTAGCCACTGAGCAGGGCAGGCAGCCCAGTCATCGTCAACGTCATCGTCATCATCGGCAACGACACCAACACAAATAACCATGAGCGTCTCTGCACAGTGGCATAAGATGTGTGATTTGTGCAATGACAGTGGGTTAATGATGATGATGCCGATAGTTATAGCCTGCAACTTAACCTAAGCTTAGCTGTATGAGTTACGTATGTAAGTGCAAAATGATCTTTTCTTACTCGTAACACGTTAGTAATGGTAATAAATTGTAAATTATCACTGCATAAAATCCTTTAACGAACATCACTTAAGTCATTACAATTACTATTACTATTACTATTTTTTTAATATTATTCTGCTTTGTCGGAACTCGGCTGAGTTATCTTAAGACCACTGTGCTCTGCTTACAGCGCCAGCGCCAATAAAAACGTAAATGGCGCGTGATTGTAAGGCGTCTTCTACTAGTGGCCCCCACACACACATACACACACTCACACACACTCTACACAACACACACTCACACACACTCACATACACTCACACACATACATATATAAGCATACGCTCGCCCATTACAACAACCACTTCAAGATGGCCACAAGAGTAGCATCTTATTTTGCTGGCATTTGGCTTCGATGGCGGGCCGTTTTTACCGGGCACTGGAGTAGTGTTCGAGGGGAATGTTGAGGCAAGGGAAATCAGGAATGAAGCCACATAATGAAAAGAGTGTGTGAAGAATTTTAAATTCAAAATTGCATGAAAAGTCGTGAGTCGCAAATAGCTTGTTGCTGTTGTTGCTGTTGCTTTTGTTGTTCTTGCTGTTTGTGGCAGTAGTTGTTGCCATAGCTGTAGTACGATCAGACAGATATCCTACTCATCACTTGAGAAAATGAAAAAACAATCATAAACAGCAGGCAACAACAATAACAACCACAACAGCAACAACAACAACAACAACAAGAGAAACAACGTTGTTGTATACCAAGTAAAAACCACTCGAAAAAAATGGGCAACAGACAAAACGCTTGTGCCTTGGCTTTATGTTTTGTGTTTTTGAGTTGTTACCTGTTGCCATTTGTTGCTGTTGTTTTTGTTGTTGCTGTTGCTGTTGCTTTCTTTGCACTACACCTGCTTAGCTAGGAGAGGGGTCTCTCTGTATGTGTATGTGTATCTCTGTGTGTGTGTGTGTGTGAGTGTTTTTACGCTGCTCCCACCGAATTCACTTTTGCCCACTCGCCGAGTCGAGACTTAATAAAGTTATTATAATTTAAGCGTTTTGATTATGTGCCTGCCAGTGTTTAAAATACCAATGCAAGCGCCTTTGGGGCGCTTCCACACCCCACACCCCCCAAAGATGGAGCTTACAAGTTTTTCAGCGGGGGCGCTGGCTCCTTTGACTTGAGTGAGTGTGTGTGAGTGTTTGTCTTTGAGTTGGTTGTGTGTGAGTGTGTGTGGGGGTAATCTTTGTGATTGGTTGCGATTTGCGTTTAATTTTGTTGCTGTAAGTGTTGCATGCACGACGCTGGTC